CAGGTATCACTTCTCCACTAACGCTAATCCCATATAAATAAGTGATGCGTTTGAGAGTAGCGTTTGTAAGCACTGCTCATCCCTTAAGTTTACATTACTTTTCAAAAGTTTAAAGATTTTACAATTTGTTCAAGATTTTTTTGAGGTTTATAGAAGCTTAAAAACTTATTTAATTACAAATATTAATTACTTTTGATGTGTTTTGTGTGCATGCTATTATAAAATGTACTCAAATTAAAGTTTATTGAATTGACAATAAGTTTGTTTTATATTAATTGGATTCTAAAGTGACTTTCAAAGAAACTTTCAAAGATTATTGATTTTCCAAGATTTCCCTGCAAATGAGTAGAATGTTTCATCAAATTTGTAATTTATTAACATTTTTCTCAACTCTTATCAACTCATTCAACGGTATTCCTTTACATCATAATTCAGGTGAACACCATTCATATATGATTTACTGTATTATGTTATCACTTATATTTAATTGTAATTTATTTTCAAGTTTTTGTATCATTTGTTTTATTGTATTGTATAAAGAATTAATATTTTTAATCATATAACTTGTATTTATTAATCTATGAAGATTTGAATAAATAAGTTACAGTATATTACAAATTACTGTATTCATATATTTAACAGTTTGTTTTGCTTATAGTTAAACTCAGAAATTACTATAATACATCAAATTAACGGTTAAAATTCATTGTATATTTTTATTGAATATAAGAATTTTAATATAATAAAGATTCTTAATAACAGTGTTAGCAACTTGTCAATTTAAAAGCATTGTAAAATTAATTTTGAAAAATAGTTGATATATGGATTAAAAAGCTAGAATAAAATAGTAAAGAATTTGAGTTAATTTGGAAACATTTATATATTATCTGACAGAATGTGTTTACGTGAAGACAGAAGAGGACACCTATAGGTTTCAGTCGGAGGGCTATAAAAACATTTGTGGTCTGTATGTCATATCAGAACCCGACTATTTGGTTGAGTTTGAATTTGAAGATTTTGACGTGAGCTGTGCTAATGGAGGCCTACTTAGTGTTGTCGACGGATGGGAACTAAACGGACAGTTCTTTCCGGGAA